GCTATGCACATAACACTGTGGACATTATTTCTTCAATTTCATGTTGTGAGCATTTGATTTTTCTTTCTAAAATGTGAATTCCTTATAGACTTCTAATAGCCTAATAGGATTAAATGCAGAAAGGAACAAAGATGATAGATATCAAGAATTTAGCAATAATTTCAACTATGTGTACATCTTACAAAAAAATATTTAGTCTTTTTACTGTATTGTTTTATTTATCTATTCATAGGAAAATTACTTTGATTATTGTTATTACTAACTTATTTAAAATAAAGCAGTAAAGCATAGGCTTATGAATAGGTGTCACTGTAAAACTGCTTGGATCTGTGGAGGAAGACAGTCTTGGGCTCCATTGCTAGATTGGTCATGATTAGCTGTGTGATACTGACTACAAACAAAATGTCTCTGTATCCATTTCCTCAATCTATCAATAGTCACCATTATTTATTTTCTCATAACTCATAAAAATGGTTTATAGGTAGGTGGTCCTTTATGCAGCCAATAAACAGGAATGTATAATTTATGCTGAATCTGAATTAAAGATACCGATCTTACAGTTTGATCTCTCTGTATATATCAAGACAATATCATCTACTCTTGTTGAATAAGTAAAAGTTACAACATAAAATATCTCTATAGAGAAAGTAATATTAAAAATAATTAAAATAATTAAAGAACCAATTTGTGGGAAATGGATGGAACTGGAGATCATCATGTTAAGTGGGATAAGTTAGACTGAGAAATACAAAAATCACATGTTTTCTTTTGCATAGGCTGTCAAGATTTCAAAGAATAAAATAGAAGAGAGGACACAAACATTGAAGGGGGACTATTTGTGAAGAGGAAGAGGACTAGGGAGAGGAGAAAGGGGAACCTGAAGGATGACTATGGATAAATTTAATCAAAGTATTCTTACTCATTTACTAGGATGATAAGGCCCTGTTCAGTTGACTAGATTGATCAATTAAGACAGTCTTAGGTATTAGAATATGAATAATGTTTACTTTTTAACTGTGAATTCAACTATGTATGAAAATGTCACTATGAAAACCATTAAAATGTGCAAAAACTGTTTGTACAATCCAATTGTAATCTGCAATTGTAAGTTTACATGTAAATGTAAGGTAATGTGGCATTTAGTAAAGCAGTTCACTGATAGTTTATTTGCTCCAGAATGAATGGAACCTATCCTTTGGATAATAAACATGAGCAAGAAAAAAATATTTTCTGATACATTATAGGATTTATTAAAATACATTATAGGATTTTTGTTATGTCATTACTCATTATGATTAAATAATGACATGACATTTTTTATATTAACACCAAAAGACTGACTGTATGAATCAAGTGAATTTTTGAAGCTGTGCTCTTTTAAAATTCTCGAGGTTAATATCATAAAAACAATAAAGCAGTAATGCATAAAAGAATTATTAAGAGTCTAATAAAATTATCTGTACTTCCTACTATAGTAACACTGATTAATGACTGCTTTTTAATTAATTGAAAATTGTTTAATCATTGTACCATTTTATTTTACCTGAGAGTTTTTATAAAAGGGTCAGGGCCAAAACATATGCTAGTGGAATCTGCAGTATGATACACTTAGACAATTTTGCTCTTCTTGGCAGAGCAAGTGTGGGCTCTTTATTTCTTACTCATTTAGAGGATGATAAAGCCCTGTTCAGTTGCTTAGTTTGATCAATGAAGACAGCCTTAGGCATTAGAATATGAATAATATTTACTTTTTAACTATGAATTCAAACAAAATATAAATACACTATTTGCTCTTATCAAAGAATCTTTATTTATTTATTTATTCTTCTTGGCAGTTCTGTGGTTGTGCTCAGGGCCTTGCACTTACTAGGGAGGCACACTATGACTTGAGTTATGTCCCAGACTTTTTGCTTTTTATCTTATTTTTTAGGTAAGATATCACTCTTTGTCCAGGGCTTAAAACTTGAATCCTCCTATGTATGTCCTCCCAGGGAGATGTATAACAGGAGTGAAACACTGTGACTGGTTGCTTAGTTGAGATGGAATCTCACTAACCTTTCTGCTGGGGTTTGTCTTTAATCTTTATTCTCCTGATCTCTAACATCTGAGTTGCTAGGATTGCCACCATAATCTGGTTTGTTACAGAATCTTTAAATATCACATAATATGTGTTTAATATCTGTATTTTACATGTAAGTATATAGTTTTTTTGTGTGTTTGTATGTGTTAGTGGGGTTTGAATTCAGGACCTATATATTAAGCCACTCTACCAGCCCTTTTTTTGATGGGTTTTTAGTGATAGGGTCTCCTGAACTATTTTCCTGGGCTGTCTTAGAACCTTGATCCTCCTGATCTCAGTCTCTTAAGTAGCTAAGATTTCAGGTGTGAACCACTGGCATCTGGTTTAAATCTCAGTTTGCATATGAGTGTCAACAAAATGAATCTCCATAAGCTAGGACTTCCTAATTTGAATTTAAGTAAAAACTCTAGCCACCAAGTTGGAGTATCATACATACTAACATATTGGTAAATAGCTACTTAGGATTCCATATATCTAGGAAAGTGAATCTTTCAAGGATCAAGGACACCTCTTTCCACAGTAATGATTCATAGTTTCCTCCATTTTTTTCAAGAGGTTGAAGCTCAAGATTCTGAAAGGAGTCACTGGGACTTATTCTTATGGCTGCCCTTATGCCATGATGATGGTTTTGATAGCCTAGGCAGACACTGGGGACAAAGAGACCAGATATAGTTGCCATACAGGGGGCTAATGTCATCTGTATTTTATTAATAGGAAGGTTTGGATTAGATTAGTCTTCTACAGAATATTTTATTTGGGAAAATTTGTCTGTAATAATTAGAAGTTAATTAAGGTGACACCTTTGGTCAGTTGTCACTTATGTCCAAGCCGTCAGTGAGAAAGCAACATGATTTACAGATGTCTTATATCTCATAATTTAGACAACCAATTTTCACTGTATTTGTCAAGTATTTTAGAAAAATGTTTATTTTTCAACTGCTGCATAGTTAAGCTGTCTTCCAAACCCTATATGAATGAAATCATTGAATGTTAGTATTAAAGGAATAAGGATTAACAATATAAGTGTAACAGGATGCATTATGGGAAGGAAGAAAGATGCCACCTTGAAAGGAGATTCCAGGAAAACACTTTAAACTGAATGTGCATGGGGTATCCCCCAAGAAGTTGAGAATGTCATTCTGTTCTCCACATGCACTCAGGCAGTTAAGGTCATAATCTTCTCTCTGAACCAAAATGAGCAAGAAGCACCAATGTGAAAGATGATAAGGAAGACAAAACATACGATAGAGGAACAGTATATATAATGAACCTATTTAACTGGGCGTGGGAAGGGCCTCAGGATCAAATGGACACAGCAAAAATAACTGAATTGAAGAAACTATGCTATTCACTTAACCAAGAAGGCTGTTTGTTGAGCAAGGGGTAGGAGGGCTATTAAGCCATAGGCCTACCACTGTGTGCCCTTATCTTTCTTTCCCTTTTCAACCTATTGGAGAATCTTCATCTCCACTTCAAAGAAATCAAAGCTCCAATTTATGCTGGCTTTAGGTTCTCCAGTTTATCTGCTACTATATAAAAAATAAACAATCATGGAATACATTTCTGTAAAATAACATTTTTATATTTCTTACAGTTTTGTAAGCAGAAATGTAGACTTTAGCTCGCTTAATATTCATTTTGCATGTTGATGGAGGTTCCAACACAGCATTCATCTAGTAAGTGGACTAGACTAAATATTCCATGCTAGTGTCTTCTCTGAGCTGAGTGTGGCTTCACCTGAGCACCAGCTTCTGATTTCTCAAGAATGGTAGCCTCCTGGTAGTCAGAAATCTAAGAGTAAGCATTTAATGAACAAGATGGGAACTGTATTCTTTTTCATGTTAGACTTACTTTTAAGAATCAGAGTAACCTACAAATAATGAAGTTGGCCAAAGACCTCTTTGAGGTCCAGATCCAGAAATCACTTTCTGATTATCCATGTTTAGAAGTAGTTGTTGAAGATAAACAAAGCAGTTTCATATAAATACCACCACAGAGATGAGACTGAGGAAAAAAAAAAACTATCAGGAGAATTTTCCATAGCTCTTTCCTCATTTGAAAGGTAAAATTAGCTGCCAAGGTGTTACAAATTTACATCAAATGAATGAAGTAATATAAGAAGAAAAAATAAAAGATATCCCAAAGGGATTTCCTAAAACACCTTGACTACAAGACCTGTAGCAGAAGGACTAGGAAGATGCATTTCTCTTAAAAACTACTAAGTCACAGACCAAATGTTGCTATTCTTACCCTAATCTATTACCTGAGGAAGACATTATGATATCTTTGATTGTCCTGTTAAACAAATAAGATCTCTAGATTCTCTCACTTTAGGGAATTCTCTTCTGGACAAAGCAGATACAGAAAGAATACTTGTGAACAATCTTAATCCTAAAAATATTTGCTAACAATTCTAAGCTACTCCTGAACACTTGCAGTTAAAACTGGTATATATTTAAGTAATATTCTTTTAATATATTCTAATTAAGGGGGTTAAAGAAGAGGGACGATTTTTAAATGTTCTTAATTTCAGGAACTGTTCCAGAATGGGTGATTTTATATAATAATTATTTCTTCCTGCCTGCCCTATGAATCTCAATGACATAGCTACAAGGATAGGGTATGGGAGAGATGTCAGCACTTCTGTCAATTTTTGAAGGCACTAAGTAAAAAAGGGTGAAGTCACCCACTGAAAAGCACTTCTAGCTATTTATGCAATCCTGCAAACAGGGCTCACTGGCAGTTGTCACAATTTCTCTGGACTTATGCTATCAGGAAAAGAAACAGGTTTCCTAGTTTCCCCGGGAGACCACTCAGCTGTCGGACCAAAAAATGAAAAGCACCTCAGCAGGGACTTATTTAAGGATGTTAAATCCAAAGAACTGAAGTATAATACTGATTCCATCCATGCCATACTTACTAACTTTACTTGCAATTACAGAGAAATTATACTGCGCAGTGCTTTCTCTGTCTAGTAATTCATTAGTGGCGATGGTTCCTTCTGTTCCATCTATTGTAAAGTAGCTGTTCCCATCACTCTTCCAATCTATGAAGTACCTGTATGTGAAAAGAGGAGATGCAAATGTGCAATGATTACACATTAATCATAATGGCAGTTAGGCTAACTTGACAGAGTTCCTTATTTTTCTCCCTGTAGCTATTACCCACCTGGCAATAAAGAAGAGTGTAAATGACAGCTGCTTTATTGCAAAGTCAGTATGCTCAAGGGGAAACTGGAAATAATGAAAGATTTAGTACTCCTGCTGTTCATATTATTTTAGGGTCTTGACACCTTGAAAGCTCAGCAGAGACTAAATTTCTAAAGCTGACCATGGGTTCTCTCAACCTGCTGAATATTAAAATGTTTCAGCAGTAAAATTTCCTTAACATGGCTGTGGGAAGGGTTAAGGGTAAGGGACGCAGCTGCAAACAACTTCAAAATCCTAGGCCACAGCACAGGTAGATTTTTTGTTTCTGTGGATAGAAAAAACGTCACATAATAGAAGCTAAAGAAAAAATGTGGTAATTGTGTAAACATATTTTCACTCCAACGCATGCATAAAGCTCACTGCTGTTTTATTATATTATATATCAGGACAACTTGCTAAAAAGAAAAGGCAGTAACCTTGGCTAATGATGTCTTTTTATCTTTTTTATTATCTGACATATTTTTTAATAAGGAACTCTGATTTATGTGAAGTATCTGAGCTGGAAAATCCAAGAAAATGAGTAACAAAACAGAAATAGCTTTTACTAGTCTTTATGTAATATGAGACTTATGAATTGATACATATATTTTCCAATCATAATAACAAGAGTTATGATTTTTAAAGCTTACCATGTGAAAGATATTGTTCTCAACGACGATGCTCATTAACTTATCAATCTTTACAACAGTCTATAAAAGGTATTATTATTCTCCACATTTTGCATATGAGGAAATCAAACAGAAACTTGCAAGAATTTGCCTAAGTTCATGTAGCTTGAAAGTTTTTTCTGATATTTGAATCAGATCAATAATGACTCCATTACAATCACCATTATATAGCCTTAATAATTTGAAACATAACATTTTAGGGGAGAGGTTTCTGTTAATCATAAAGCCCAATGTACCATACATTCATAAACATTATTATTTCGGTCTGTGAAACAGGAAGAAGTCATTCAAGACAGTGGCTGAAAGCAGAAGACTTTATTGCAAGCAACCCGTTTAAAACAAGTTTAAAGACAAAAGTGATCCCCTTGTTAAACCTGAACAATCTGAAATGTTGTTTAAAGGAAGTATCTCTTTAAAAAGCAAGTTATAATTTTGACAAGTTTGTTAATTGAAAATGAAGTGCTTTGCACCCCATTGTAGTAAAAAGGAAAGCTACCTATGCTCTATCAATGAGGTTTCTAAGCTTCACTTGTCAATATTTGTTACTAAATTCCCAACGAGAACTTGATGAGTATTCTTGGAAGAGGGTGTGCACCATGCTGCTGATAACTTTTATATATCTCAGCTGTTGACTTATGGTGTGAAAATGCATTTATGTCTGATGACTTCAAGGCAATAGCTTGTCTCATAGTAATTCTCCTACCAAAAGTATAAGTGAAGTTATTTCTCTTAGACATCAGGGGGCACAGTGATGTAGTGACCTCATTCTTCCTATTGTATATTCTTTTCTAAACATGAAAGCATATTTCACAGCATTCCTTTTTAGCACCTGCTCAACAAACCATGCCCAACTGGAAATAAAATTGCCACTGAATATTCTTATGAGCTGGTATTTTGAGAAGAATTATTGATGTAGACGAATTGTGTCTGATTATGTAACTCCTTTACTATGTCCTAAGTGTACACTATACACTTGAGTCTATGCTGGAGTTTAAGGGTATAAAATGAAGGAAAGTATGATAACCAACACTGAAGGTTTGGGGAGACATATATCAACAGATGATCTGAATACAAGACAGAAGGATACAGCAGATCCTATAGTATTGCCAAGAAGACATACACTCTATATCTAATTGTTCAGGCAAACCTTGTGGCATAAGATATTTGGCTGACATTAGAAAGCTACAAGGAATGATATAAGAAAAGTCTCAAGTACCCAGAGAGGGGAGAGAAAAGTTACTTTACTAAGCTGTAGCAGCAGTAGAACAATTTCAGAGTTTGTGAATAGAATTATATGATTTTTAGCAATTCCTATAGAAAAATATTTGGAGATTTAGGACAAGGATGGCCTAACATATTACATTATTATATTAGGGAGGTAGAACTAGATGCTGTAAGTGATCAACATTGCTTCAAGAATGTCTTATTAGGACAATCAGCTTTTTAGCTGCTTTGCTAAGGATTTTCTTAGTTTTACTGCTCAATGTCCCAAGACCCAGAAAGCTTCCAGGCATAATTGGAAAAATTTATCACCTTACTTATAATTAATACGTGCTGAATATATTTCACAAGATCAATTCAAACAGAAGTCTAATAGTGAATCATTATACACACATGTCTCATTCAATTGTACTTTTAAACTTTGGGCTGGTGAGTGGTTCAAGTATTAAAAGCGCCTGCCTAGCAAGTGTGAGGCTTTGAGTTCCCCAGTGCCTCCAAAAAAAAGACAACTTTTCTGACATGTTTTCAAGTAGAAGAAATTACAGAAAGTATACAAAAAATAAGGTGCTGGGTAGGGAATTTATTTCAGTAGTATAGTGCTTGCTTAGAATGCACAGGCCCTAGGTTGAATACACAGCACTGAAAAAAATGAAATTAAAATAATGTATCTATATATTGGCTGTGTATGTGCATGAATGCATATACAAGTTCATATCAGGCACATAAATGACTGCAGTGAAGTATAATATGAAGAACAATAATTTTTTGAACAGAGGTAATTACCATGATACCCAATTCATTCAATCCTTATTTAATTAGGTTTGGAATCTTTCCCTTTAATGACTTGTGTCTATAAAATTTGGTAAATAATACATGCCTTACAGTGCAACCACAGGTGTTGTTATGAAATGAAACGAGATAAGATACATGTGTCCTAGGTAAAGAGTCATGCATATTAACATATGTGTCTGTGCATAGGCACTCCCCCTCCTTCCTATTTCTACCAACATCATTTTATATTACTTCTCAAGTAAAAAATTCCTTCCTAGCCCACAAACTTTTGCTAAGGTCTGGTATCATCTTGTGGCATGTATCACCTTCAACTTTAAAATACCTGGACTATAAAGATCCCACATAAATCTCTGATCCACAAACCATGAGGACACATACCCAGATTCTGTTCAAACACGGGTTTTTTGCTTGAGTCTTTTTTCTGTTATCCAGGTTTTAGACCTGTCACCTGGTGAGTTTTGGCAACCCCTGTTCTCTAGATGACAGTCTCCTAGAAAGACTGCTGAATTCTGAAGTATGTCTGAACCTGACTTTCTCCCGCTACTCATCTTTAGCATCGTCCCCTATTTCGCCATGTCTAAAATCATAGGTCTAGTTTTAGCTGCTAGTATTTCCTTGTATGTTTTATGTGATTCACTAAATCCTGTGATTAAAGTATAAACGTTGGAAAATGACTGTCATTTTCTTTGAATATTTTGAGTCCTGATACAACAATTGTAAGAAATCTATAAGAAAAAAACCATTAATGAATTGGTCATGAAAATGTTACTGTAATTTCTGGACATTTTTAGGGAAGACATGACTCAGTTGTAAAATGTACAAGTTTTTGCCATACAATACCCTTCCAGAGGAACCATCTTATGTTTTACTTGGGGAGTGCTATAGTCCACTTCAAACCTGTGGGTAGTAAATCAAATGCAACTGGTTACAATCATGCAACATGAATGTCTATTTTGGCATACATAAAGTAACATTTGATTCATCACGTATTTATTCACTGAGTAAATGATATTTATGAAAAACTATTCATGGTATATAAAACAGATCATACAAGTGTAAGATGACTGTTGCTAAGAAACCTGTTTTAACAATTGACTAGAAATCAAAAATGAAAACATTAATCTGTCCTATGGGCTACTTGAATATATATATATATATACATATATATGTGTATATATACAGATATATGTGTGTGTGTATGTATACATATGCATATTTTTATGTATGTATACATATATGTATATATATATGCATATAGTTTATTGGTGTGACTAGTGTTTGATTCTAGTCTTTGTGCTTGCAAAGCAGGTGTTCTACCACTTGAGCCACAACTCCAGTGCATTTTGCTGTGGTATTTTGGAGATGGGGTCTGGTACACTATTTGTCCTGGATGGCCTGGAACCAAAATCCTCCTGATTCCATTCTCCTAAGAAAGTAGAATTATAAGCATGAGGCACAGACATCCATCAATACAGTATACTTTTTTTTAAATGAGCTTTCAGAAATACCTTTAAGACATTTATTTTTGCATTAAGTAAGCATTCTTCGTATTTTTTTCTTTTAATTTACTTGATAACTTCCTCACAAAGGAAAAAGTACCTTTGGCATGGTCCCAATTTTCAACAACATATTTATTTAGTGCTTAATTGTATAGAAGTACTCTAAAACATTACATCTTTTTCTTAAACAATAAAAAGGTAGGAATAATTATAATTATATAATTATAAATATAATTATAAGTCATGGTAGGAAACTATTTTTTGCTTGGATAGTTATAATAGATCAAAATCAGTTCACTCTTATCTGTACTTTTTTGTTAATATTTTGGGGATTTTTGTCTTTAGGCATATAATGAAATGAAAGCAAATTCAGTTCAGTACACTTCAACATTCTACTGATCATTTAAGCCATGTACAAGAACACTGAGATTGCAATTGCTTCCTCAAGAATAATAGTTACACTTTTTTCCTTAGGAATCTCAACGTGCTTCTCTAAACTTTGAATGACTACTGATTTCTTGTTAGTCACTTTCAATATTTTTCCTCTTATCCTTTTCCTCAACCTTACTTTCTCCTCAAGAGATGTAATATTTGTACCTTAGCTTAGAGAGATTCTATTTTTTTAGTCATTTAATGATAAACCAAACACTTCATAAAGTTATAATGGT